AGGAATGTTTCTTTTCTCCATCAGTCTCCTGAGCTAGAAAGGAGCCTGAAGGAAAATGTTCAGGCTGCAGCTCCTCTCAGAAAACAAAGGAGGGCTAGGCTTTGACTGCTGTACCCTTTGCATCAGTCATTGCATTTCTTTCTCCAGCTTTTCCACGATGAAGGCAGTTCTGTCTTGCCTCCTCCCACACACCATCACCACGCAAAGCCCTCTGCCCAGCCCTAGTCCTCTAGTCTGAAGGTGCCCTCTCCTCTTCTGCCTGGACTCCCCAGTCCTCCCAAGGTTGTGTCTCTGGATAGTACAGATCTATTGTGTAACACAGGAGATGTGACTTACCACGGGCACTGTCACTCAGAATTCAAGCAAAGGTTTGAAGTGTGTTTTTCATGGTGAGTTAACTCCTTCACAAGTCCTGTGATTAATAATCATTCACAGATCTGAGCATCCTGAGTCTCTGGGCCTATCATCTGACTTGTTTAAACTTCAGTGCTTTTTTTTAATGCAATATAGGGTTGCAGTGAAAAGGCCAAAAAGAGACTTCTCCAAATACCAGATTACTGTTCAACTATGTTTTGCTGCTGTGACAGTTGTATTCTGGGATTTTATGTTTGTTTTTACATGAGTGTGTCAGCAGCTTTAGTGCTGTCTCTTCTTTTCAGTGTCTGTTGTGGAAGTTGCCATGGCCTTATGTAGAGTTTCACATTAGAGACCCCCAAGTTCCCCAAACCAGCAAGCTGGCGTAGAAATTCCTGGCACCACGTGTTAGAAATCAGAATGCAAGTTCTTGGTGCAGTTCATGGGAGAGATAACTAATCATAGTTTAAGTGTTGTAATGCTGGCCGAGGAAGGGCTTGTTCTGAGTGCTCTGTTTTTATCTCTTTGACTTTTATGTAGCAAGGAGCGTGCAGCTGGTACTGGTTCAGGGACAGCAGCTGGCCTGGCAGGTGGACACCATCGGGAAGCATGGACTACAAAAGGACCATCATATGAGGACTTGTATACCCAGAACGTTGTCATCAGCATGGAGGACCAGGAGGATCTTAACCGGTCTGCAAGTGAAGGAAAGCCAGCCAGAGAGAGACCAATTTGGCTACGGGAGAGCACGGTGCAGGGGGCTTATGACCCTGATGAAATCAAAGATGGTAAGAAAATTCACGGAGCAGAAGTACTGCTCTGCTTATGTGATGCTCTTAGAGTGCTGTCAAAAATATGTTCCCCTGTGTGTGTACAGCTGCTGCTCCCTACACTCCAGATTTTGTCCACTCCCCTCTGCTGTGCAAAGCGTCTGTGTGTAGGTAGATGTAAAAAATCCTGGTTTATTAGATCCAGGATTGAAATCTAGGTCAGTAAGGCTGACTTACCCACAAAATTGTTTGTGCTTCTAAAATGTTAATTATCTGTTACGTCTTCCACCTTGAGAGTTTATTGGTTTTGGACAAGGTCTTTTAGTCTAATCTAGAAAGCTGCCCCCTTAATAGGTCACTGCTGAAAAATAACATTTATTAACATTTGGTCTCTCTGAAGCCTACCAAATCTACTAGCAGTATTTTGTGCTTCCAGCTGCCTTCTTGCCAGCTGTTTTTCAAAATGTGTGGCAAGTGAGCCTTTATTGCTTTCTGTTTGTTTCTCATTATCTTTGCTTTTATTTTCATTCATGTTGGGGTCAGGTTGTCCATAGACAGTAGTCAAGATCTTGTAACCACTAGTAGAAACATTCTGCTTTGATAAGTGTGCTGTTTAAGCTTACGCACTAAAAATATGAAATAGAGACCTTCTGAGATCTTTACAAGAGTGAATCAATAGATGCAATCTTCCAAGTCATTTGAGGATTATAGAATGAAACTGTTGATGCCCTAGGAAGAGAAGATGGCAAAAGGGAACCATATGTGTAAGCATAAGACCCTGGAACGAGTGCAATGCTCAGGAGAGGAGTGGAGTATGTAGGTATAGCAGAAGTGGAGTAAATGGATGTGAAATAATGGTCAGAAGATATCTAATGATCTTGTTTGCATGTAACGCCTTTCAAGCATACGGATCCCAAAACTTTTTCAAAATAGATTAAATGAAGTGAGGTGATTGAAACAACCTCCTCCTGCAGTCTGTAGCAGATGTTGTTGTTACTGACTAGCCATGGTGAGTTCTCACCCTGTTTTTCTGCTAGACATTCAATTCACCTGTAGTTTTAAATTGGATCCTTGAGATGACTTTTGGTGTGCACAGTATAAATGTTTCTCAGATGTCACTGAAGGACATGGAGGGGGAGTATACCTCTTTGCAGCACAATGGCATCACTGCTTAGCCTCCACCACTACTGGAGATCAAACAGGGGACTTGTGGAAATAGCCTGAAATTGCTACTGCAACACATTTTTGTAGCTCTTGGATGACATAAACAGGGAGGAAGGAAACTTGGGACTGTTGACAAAAAAGATTCACTGCTTGGATCTGGCAGGAACAGTTCTCACAAGCAAAAGACAGCCCCGCTCCTGAGCCACAAAGTCAGACTTTGTGGAGCTACCCTAGGCTGTGGTCGCTTCACAGGTCTCAATGTGATGAGCTACGATATTATCTCACAGAAATGTTCTCCAATAGCCTCTTACGCTCTACAGTCACAAGCAGCAAGCTGAGCACAAGGCTGCCAACACAATGCCTTCATTCTTCCTTTCTTTCAAGAATTTTGCCAGTGCATTAATAATAGTAGTTGCAGCCATCACCCATTCCTACAACTTCATCTACAATAAAAACATGAGTCCACTGAAGTTAGGGGTGGGTCTTTTGGCTTTTATTTTACCACAGCAAAGGAGTGGCCACAAACTCCCCTGGCTTTTAGTGCTAAATGCAGAACTTACTTCCTTAGTTCACCTGTTTCTCAGCATTTTTTTCATCTCAAGCTGAAAAATGTAACTAGTGCACCCAGTGCATTTTTGACCCTGGGGGAAAGGCTTGGGTACCAGCTGCCTGGATGTGGTGCTGAAACCATGAGGGTCCAAGCCTTGGAGAAGCAGGCAGGTGGCATTGATGTACAAAGGCAGAATGCCGTCACCTCAGCTCCAGCAATTGTTCATAGGCAGTGTCTTTTAAGTGCAAGAAAGTTTGCCATGGGGAGTCTGTCCTACTTCTTAGGCCTTGTTTTTACATAAGATTCTCTGTATTTCATTTTTTGTTCTGGGTTTTTTTCTTTTTTTTTCCATGCTGCCTGTAGGTTTATTGGTGCTGGTTGGACTCACAGTCCTCTCATCAAACATAGGATTAGGAGAAGTTTTCTGCAGAATGCCACTTTTTGAACAGAATTTTCCCTTTTGAATCCGTGAACTGCAGACACCCTGCCTACCCAAGCCATGTCAAACCCTCCCAGCTATTGTACAGCCAAGCTTACTGAAATAGGAGCACAGGCTGTGTGTCTGTCAGCTGGGAAACTGCAGTCCCCTTCAAATAAGAGGTCCAGGTAGGGAGCCAGAGAGACTGGCTGAGCTGCGTTTCAGCCCGGAGAGCGAGAGCTGTCTTAATGCAGCCTTCCTCGCTGCGCTGCGCAGCTTGGCTGCAGGCTGTAAGCTGCATCTGCTCGCTACCACCATGTTCCAATAATGAGCTTTTCCCCTTCCTGCCTGGTAGGTGCACCTCTGAGCTTACCAGACATGGCTACTTTGAATGTTGTTTTATAATACTGATTTCCACATACTCCCTGTCTGCCTGGATTCATCTGCTTCTCCATCTTAATCCTTATAGATGAGGAGCTCAACAGGGCAGGGCCTGGTTTTGGGTCTGTGTTTGTGGTCTGTGCTGGCAACACGCCGTGGTCTTGGTCATCACCACAAGTCCTCCAGGCTGTGGTCATACAACCTGGAAACAAAGGAACAAAAAGGACACAGCCTTTGTTTGTTCACCTGTGAAACAGCACCGAGATACTTGCTATATCTCTGACAAGTGTCATCATTAGGTGCATAGTCTGGATATCTGGAAGCCCAGATTTAGCTCCCAAGGACTGCTTTCTGCTCCACAGTAAGGAAGTGCCTCAGCCCAGCTGAGGGGCACCTGAGTTGGGCACCTCCCTGGAGGGTCTTTTCCAGGTGCCTGCCCATCATGCATTTGTTGTCTTCTCTTGCAATGTGCTCCTGGTCAAGGCTCCCACCTGGGAGCCACAGTGACTTCAGGCCTCCCAGCTCCTAGGAAATGTCAATACTTGCTCTGCTGTTATGAGAAAAACCATAACTATCTCTGTTTTTTTAGGGAGAGGTGGAGCTGACATAGAGAAAGGATGTGACTTGGCCAAGCGTGCTCAGTGGCAGTAATTAATACAGGTCTAGAAAGCCTACAGGGCCATCACCCAGATCTCAGTGAGGAAATGATCATTCCCGTGTGTCTTTTTGCAGGGGGCCGGGATCTGGATGCCTTCCAGGAGCGTGAGGAGGGCCGGGCACCTCTGGATGATAACGAGGAGGTGATGCGTGCCCTGCTTATCCACGAGAAGAAGACACCTTCTGCTTCAACAGTCACTGTCGGGGGTGCCGCTCCTCTCTCCGGTGCCAATGCTAGCGACTCCGAGAGCGAGACAAGCGAGTCAGAGGAGGAATCCCCTCCCCGCCCTCCCGCCACGGCCACCACAACATATGGGCTGGAGGAGGAGGAGGAGGATGAAGAGTTTGAGGTGGTGGCAGAGGACCCCACCGTCACAGTGGCTGGGCGTCCGCACTCTTACAGCCAAGTGAGCCAGCGCCCTGAGCTGGTGGCCCAGATGACACCTGAAGAAAAAGAGGTTTACATAGCCATGGGGCGACGCATGTTTGAGGATATGTTTGATTAACTGCTTCCTGCCATGGCATTTTTTAAAAAGTGACTTTTTAAGCCAGAGACTCCCTAGTAAAACAGAAGACTGAAGTGCATCTTTCCTCCCCTGTGTGCAGGGGCACTGGGGCTCGGGACTGCTAATCTCAGGCATCTTGCCCACCAGAGAGGGGGAGCGGGAAAGCTGCATGTGCCAAAACAGGTAGGGGAGGACAAGTCTGAGAAGTGAGGATGCTTGCAAGGTAAAAATCTACTTCAGGGTGCCCTGCACAGGTACCACTTTAACCCTCTCCAAGGCCCCAGCAGCTGCCTCCCCCCGATTGCTTTGGGTTGATTTTTGTTGCAGATCCTAGTGAAGTCCACATCCCTGCCCTCAGAGGACGTAAGGGCTCCGTAGTCTGATCAGAGTGCTCTGCAGAGGAGGGTGTAAGTAACATTACAGCTGCCTGTGCTCAGTGAGGGGAGAGGAGAGGGAAGCACTCGTCTGCTGATGGCAAACTTGGGCAGGGCTTGCAGCTGACCTCCTGCCAGCAGCCACTGGCCACCGGCGTGGTTATTTCTAAGCAGGCCTGTGGGCAGCAACCTTTTCTTGCTCCCATTTGTTCCTTACTAGGTCTCAGCACCTCAAGGTCAGGTGTAACTTGAAACACGCAGAGTGAAAGCCTTGGCAAGCACACACAGTCACTCTTTGTCAGTGTAACGAAAGCCCTCCATGGAGCTGAGCTGTCAGAGCACTCTGACTTATCAGTAGATACCTTCATTTTCCAGTATTGCTGCCTGTTGCTTCTGCCTAGCCCTGTCCCAACTCCAGTGTTGCAGACAGTTCGTAGTGGGCAGGGCCACAGTCAGGCAGTGCCAGAGAAATAGTGTAGCTAGTTTTTATTTGCAGTCACACCAGGGCTGTATCATTTTAAGAGGAATTATGCAATTTTGAATTCTGCTTTGGCACACTCTTACCATAGAAAAACATTTATCAGTGCCTACAGAGCAATATCATATTTTTAATGTCTTTCTCTTTGAATTGAAAATGTTGTTTTTTAAAATTGTTGTGTTTTCTTATCCAGTGCTACAATAAAACAAAATGATAAGAGAATTTTGTGTTCCAGAGGGTAGGGGCAGTATTATGTGCTGTTCCATTTACATGGGCAGCATGAATTTGCTGTTCACTGAGACTGTAAATCTGTTTTATACTAACTATGCTTTCTATGTTCTGCTAACCTTGTAATGCCTCCTTTGTGGTTTTATTTTCAGCTTCCTGATATTTTGAATCCCCTTTTTGTTTAAATAGTGTTTTAAATTTGCTTTTAAGTCATTTTAAAGAGGAATAAATAAACAGAAACTATTCCCCTTTGTCATATTCCAATTTGTCATGTGCCTAGTTGGGAATGTTGTTTGCTTATCATTTTGATTTACTTGATTCAGGAAAAAAAATAATTTGAGGCTCTCCTTTGAGGGAAGGACTGTTTGAAATCCCACTGCACATTGTTTCTCCTCACCAGAACTTCCTTGAATGCCTCCTGGAATCTCCTGCCCTTCCAGGAAGGATGTTTCTTTACACTATTGCTGTGGGAGGCCCTTTTTGATCAGCATTTCTGTTCCTTTCCTCCTTCCTCAAGGGAAGCGTAGGCTGATGGCGGAGGTCTCACAGATATCGTGCTGCTAGTTAACATGGTACTCTTGTGTAGACCGACTTCCAAGATCTGGTATCAAGCTTTTAGATATCAAGCCACAGAGCTGATAAGCCAGATTCAGTGATCAGCTAACAGAAAAAAAGTGCTGTACCAATTCTGTCTAGATTTTATCTGGTTGAATTCAAGGTTAGCACTGCAGAAAAGCAGGTAGATTTACAAGGAGCCAAAGACAAAAACTGAGAACTAATCGTGAGTACAGTACAACTACTCATGCTTGTAACTCACCAGTAGTTTATAACTGAGCTTCTAGCCTGCAAAATCAAGCTGTAGGTTTACTGAAGCTTAGGAGAAGAAATAATGTGTTTTACTAAAAGTACTGATATTGCATCTATATCCAGCATAATCATCTATAAAGTAGTGGCTTTACTTAATATAACACGTTTAATTACGGTTTGTACGGTGGTTGTAATTTTTGTCATTCATGAGGGAATTGGTGCAGTGGTTTGCAGGGCATACCTTCCATCTCTCATCCACCACGTGCCGCCCTCAGGAGGACTGGTGAGGTCAAGATACACGAGCAGATGCCGTCATTGTTTCCTGCCCTCTCTAACAGCTTCTGGCTCTCAGAAAGGATGGCTGCTCTGCTCTGTTCCAGCCAGTTAGGGCTGTTGTCGAAGGACAACTGTACGTTGCTACTGCCCCGTCATGACAAGCACTGCTTGAATGAACAGGAGCACGTACAATCAATTGCGCCTTTTTTTTCTTTTTTTGCTGCAGTCGAAGCAGGGCTCTGCACACATGCCAGAAGAGGAAGAACGGCTGCTGCTGCAAGCAAAGCCAGCCATTGCCAGCAGGTTGGTGCTAATGCAAGGGATAAAGCCATGAATTCTGAGGAAGGCCCCAGCCATTTCCTCTGGCTGCTGGTGTGCTGCATTAATGCTAACCCAGTAACACCATGAGCATGGTCGAGTGCTGAAGCCTTCCAGGGTGAATGCTCTGTCTAACCCCATTCAAACTAGTTTCTGTGTCCGCTTTCAGGCTAAAGTGTGTTTTATCTGATGAGTACACTTGAGGCCAGGACACTGCAGCTCAGGCTGGAAAGAAAAATGCATTTCTCATGCTGCTCATACTGCTCTCCCCAAAGGTCAGAGGTGCCCGGTGCCTCTCCCAGCTGTGCGAGAGCTGCCTCTGTCCCTACTCCTGTTGCGGGTCAGGGAAACCGCAGTAGAGTGACACCCTCCCTGGCCCAGCAGAAGTGAAGCTGCTGATGGAGGGGAAGATCGCTGTCAACACTGGAAAATGGGAATGTTTTAATCTTTTCCACTAAGGTCCTGAAGGTTGGCTTCCTCCATCAGGGAATGCCTGTCCATCCAACTCTTCTTTTCCTGTGTTGCTGCCTCCTTCAAACAGACTCAGATTAAACAGACTGTCGCTCTGTGAGATTTGAGGGATTTGCAGATCCTCTGGAGGAAGGGCGGAAAAACAATATCACCTCCTCCCTGATGCATCTAAGGATCCCTGCCTGGGTGGTGCCTGCAGCGCCAGGGCATGCTGCGGAGAAGTCTAGGGGGGAGCAGCCAGCTGTGCGTGGGTCTCTGCCTCCTGCTGTGCCCCACAGGAGGAGAGAGAAAATTGCCTCAGGAATCAAATGCATGACAAAGCCTTCATGGAAATGGAAAGTTTAGGAGCAGGTGGAAGGACGTGAGGCCTGTCGGCAGTGAGGCAAGCCAGCGGGCTGTCCAGTATGCTCTCCTGGGTGGGTTGCGGAGGAGAGGCAGCAGCAGCCCTGTTCTTCTGCCCTGGTGTGCATCAGCATAAACAAGTGAGGCGGTGGGCTCGGTCCCTTGGAGGAGAGGGTTGTCACACAGTGCTGCAAAAAATCACTCTGGGCTGCTCCAGGGCTGGTATTGCTGCGTGCCACTGGAAGCCCTGGGCAAGGTAACCGTGTCCCTGGCTGGTTCACAGAGGCTTTGGAGTATTGATCTAAGCATGGACAGCCAAGGATGCCTAAGCATCACGATACACTCCAGTTTAAAGTGTTTTGACCGTGAGTCAACACAGCCTCTTCTCCAGGAGCGCAGGAGCTGGGGCTGAAGAGTAGCTTCTGTCTGCTGAGCCACTTCCAGAATAATGATCAATATTTATAAAGTCCAAGGAGATCATCACTCATACGGTCTTGATAGGAGATGTAGCCAGATGCTTGAAGCTGTTTAAGATGTGATTGCAGAGTGTCGTGGAGAGGCCGCTGCCTAAAAGGAGTGGCAGCCCAAAGCATGGAGAGCGATATCTGACTGCTGGTGCTCCTGGAAAGCTGCCTGCCTGCCTGCCTGCCTGCACCCCCCCTAGCAGAGAGCAGAGCACAGGCAGCGCCAGGCTGTCCGGGACTACAACCCCGTCATTCTTGATGGCAGAGCTATTTTCTCTCTCTTTCAAAGTTACCCAGGGACATCTGGCCTTTTGCCTGTTTGGGATACCTAAATGAGCTGCCAGAAGGTGGTTTCTTATTTACCAGCATCAACTAGATGGAGAGAGAGAATGAACCTAATTTATATGTAAACAAAAATCAGATTTTGGAAGCGCCTGCTGTATCATTAAAAAACATATTAAGGACAGCAAGTATTTGTGCAACCATCCGGGAAGCAGCAGACAGAGAGTCTCTGAACAAAATACTTTAAATATAATAGGTATTTTTGCTTAAAATATGTTTCTGACCTAAATATAATTTAATTTACATCCCTTTGAACAGTTTGATGCTAGTGAACCAGCCAGGGATAGCAGAGAGGAGGCTGAGCCAGCCGCATCGGAAGCGACTTGTCTCCACTGCAGTGCGTTAAGAGACCCTGCGTGCGCTTCACCCCGGCTGCATGCAGTGACGAATGCGCAAATGCTGCCGAGAGCTGGCCACAGCAGCAGGAGGAAACCTTGGGCTGCTCAGCCAGAGAAACAGGCAGGGATCCAGCCTGAAAATTAAAGCTGATCAAATATTGTTCCACGAGCATTAACGTCTGTACACAAAAAAAGGTATGTCTGGCAACGAGGAAAAATCACATTTCGTACAGATGTGATTAAAGCCCTGACATACTGCTTCTGCTTACTTTTCACCTGGAATCTGTATCACCAGCCTCTGCCATCCCGTCACTTGCTGGAAAAAGGAGGGTGAGCAGTGGTAATTTTGCAGTGAGCTAAAATTGTGCGTAGAGCTGAGAAGCCTGTCTCAGTTCCACATGGTAAAGGGATCCTCCTATTCTTAAACATGTCTTTTCTTCTGTACTTCTGACAATGGAAATCTGCCTGATCCAATGCCAAATTTGTCAGGCACTGTTAGCAGAGTCCATGCTTTTCCTGTGTCCTCTTAACATACGTGGAGCGGGAAGGAGAGCAGTATGCC